TCACACTCAGCCACATCAGACTAAAACTACTAAAAAACAAAGGTAAAAAAAAATCTTAAAACCAACCTGAGAAATAGGGCGTAGCGCGCACGCGCACACGGAGACCATTTGAATGACGACAGATTTCTCACCCAAACAATGGGATCCAGAAGACAGTGGAAAACATTGTTAAAGTGCTGAAACAGAAGAACTGTAAACTCAGAATCCTATATACAGCAAAATACCTGTTAGAAATGAAGGAGCTATAATGATATTCTCCATGAAGGAAAATGAGGACAAGCACGCTAAGGAAGTTCTTCAGGGGAAGGTAAATGACAGCAAGGGTAACTCAGAACTTCAGCAACAAAGGAAGAGAAGCAGAAATGATAAATATGCCTGTCACTATAATTTACTATTTTCTCTCAGAGTTTCCAAGTACATGAAGCATGAACTTGCAGAACTGGAAGGAGAAACAGACAGCTGCAAAGTGACTGTGGGAGACTTCAACACTCCTCCCAGTGACTGACAGAATGAGTGGACAGAATGAGCAAGAACATATAGGTGCCCTGGACACGACCAGCTGACGTGATTTCACCGACGTTTATAGAACACTCTACCAACAGCCAAATATACACTCTTTTCAAGTAAACTTAGAGTGTTCAAGATAGGCCCTTTCTCGAACAATTTAAAACAATTAAACTCACGCTATGTTCTTTGACCATAAGAGAACTGAACTAGAAATCAACAACAGAAAGATATCGGAAAAGGATGAAAATATTTAGAAATTAGAAAACACACTTCTAAATTATCCATGTCTCAAGGAAAATCAGAAAATACTTTGGATTAAATGAAAATAAAAATCCAACATGCCCAAATTTGTGGAATGCAGCTAAATCGGGGCCTACAAAGAAATCAGTAGCACTGAGGGATTATATTAGAAAGGAAAGAAGTAAAATGAAAATTCTGTTTTCAACTTAAAATAAAAAAGGACAGAAAACTATACTGAAAGAAGAAGGAAATAATAAAGAGGAGAAATCAATAAAGTTGAAACATAAAAATAATAGAGAAAAATCAATGAAACAAAAAGCTGGTTCTTTGAAAATATCAATAAAGTTGATAAAACTTTAGCTAAATAAATCCAGGAAAAAGGGGAGAAGACATCAACTACCGATATCAGAAATGAAAGAAAAGATGTCACTACAGGCCCCACAGAAATGAAAAGAATACTATGGTAATACTGTGAAAAACACTCCTATGAAGTCAACAACTTAGATTAAATGGATAAATATCTTAAAAGACACAAGTCACAAAATGTCATTCAAGAAGGAATAGAAGCTCTGAATGATCCTCTAATTATTAAATTAATTGGATTTCTAGTTAAAATCCTTCCAAGAAAAACTCCAGGACCTGATGATTTCATCAGTGAATTCTATCAAATATTTAAGGGAGAAACAACAGTTCTGTACAATTCAGAAAAATGAGAGAGAATTGACATTTATGACTTTTACTCTTTCTTAGATGTCTTCCAAAGAACAAAAAACTTATTTATTATCTTTATTAAATGAAATACATTCTGCCCTGGCCAGCTTGGCTCAGCAGTTAGAACATCGGCCCCGGGACCAGAGTCATGGGTTCGATTCTGATCAAGGGTACGTATCTCGGTTGAGGTTCGGTCCCTGGCCCTAGGCGGGGCCGTGTGGGAAGCAACCAATCGATGTATCTCTCTCACATCGGTCTCTCTCACATCGGTCTCTCTCTCTCTCCCTCCCTCCCAATCTGAAGATAAATGGAAAAATATCCTTGGGTGAGGATTAAAAAAACAAAACAAAGGCATTCTGTCTTGCAGTTACCATATGGGTCCACTGAACCCTCATCTATCTGATACATTATGGGGTCTCAGCGAGCTTGGTTTTAATTTTACTAGATCTATTGACACAGCCCAAGAAAGATTTAATCAGGATTCATGAATTGTTTCCAATATGCTAAAAGAGACACTAAAAGAATAAGAAACAAAGAGCGATGGAACTGCCTGGCCGAATGATGCCGCACTGACACGAAGCGCGGTTGTCACATCACCCGTCTCCTGACCGCCGCACTGCCAAAGCGTACCGGCGCCCGTCAGGAGGCAGGCGCCACCCTCGTGGTCTGTGTTTGTCACATCACCCGTCTCCTGACCGCCGCACTGCCAAAGCGTACCAGCGCCCGTCAGGAGGCAGGCGCCACCCTCGTGGTCTGTGTTTGTCACATCACCCGTTTCCTGACCGCCGCACTGCCAAAGCGTACCAGCGCCCGTCAGGAGGCAGGCGCCACCCTCGTGGTCTGTGTTTGTCACATCACCTGTCTCCTGACCGCCGCACTGCCAAAGCGTACCAGCGCCCGTCAGGAGACAGGCGCCATCCTCGTGGTCTGTGTTTGTCACATCAGCCGTCTCCTGACCGCCACACTGCCAAAGCGTACCAGTGCCCGTCAGGAGACAGGCGCCATCCTCGTGGTCTGTGTTAGCCTTACTGCACGGAGCTGAAAACTAGAACTCTGGTTTCATGCCCAGGTGGCAAAGGGGAGGACACCGCGGCGGGAGGAGGGTTCACGGTTACTACGTGAACCAGAGATGAATGAACAGAGAGAACAGCACCCCAGAGCCCGTAGATGATGGTGAAACGAATCGTAGCAGCCAAATCTCTGGACGAGCGAGAGACATAGTTCTAAGGACAAAGGGAGACTGGGTATTTTCATTCAACAGGAAGAGCGTGGTCATGCAACATTTGGGGACAAGAAGTTTGAAAGGACATGTGGCGGAATTCTGTCATCTTTTTGGATGTACAAGCACCAAAAGGAACTTGAGGTAGGTTGTCAGATAAATGGACAAGCAGGTGTGTTTTATCCAAGGTGAGCGGAAAGGAGTCCGAGACGTAGAAATGAGACACGTGATTTGGCCGGTCATTCTAATTAGCATTTATACACTTAAACGTGGGAAGGTTTATACACTTAAACAAGATGGTCTTCCTCTCCTCGACAATCATGAATCCTTAACGTTTTCCAAAGTCCTGCGCTTTGGTGATGCAGGTGGGAAGGGGAAGGCTCGGGAGGGGGAGGGGGGCTCCAGAGAGGGCTGAGTCCCGCCTGGCTGCCGGGGAGGCGAGGCCGGGGAGGTGACAGAGGCTGAGGTCTCCAGCAGAGAAAGTGGCCCCTCCTGACAGGCATCCTGGGCTCACCCCCTGCGCTGACACTCATTGCCTGAGCAAGTCATTGACTTTTCCCTGGGCCCCGATTCCTTCATCTGGAAAGCCAGAGAGCAATGCCTCGTCGTGGGGCTGAGGGACTACCAGAGGGTACGTCTGCATGAAGCGTGGGCACAGGGTCTGGCCATGGGAGGCGGGCTTTCTTTCTAAAGCAGTACCCCTGCCTCTCCTTCACACCCATCCTCTACTCTGGGGCTGCTGAAGGGTCTTCCCACAACACAATGTCACCCCCTCAGTCCACGCCATGAAATCCTCTCCTGCCATGGATAAAGGATGAACTCCTCAGCTGGCACTCCAGGCCCCGCGTGGCGGTCCCCTCACCTCCAGGCCTCTCCTGCCACGCCCACCATGCACGCCGCTCCTGCACACACATCTTCTCCCCACTCCTGAATCTGCTCCACACTCCCACCTCTGATTTTGCAAATGCGGTTCCCTGGCCTTGAACCACCATCCCGGTAGTCTGTATCTAAAAAACTCCTACTCACACCTCAAGACCCAACTCAAATGTCCCGCTTTTCCTATGCAGCGCTAGCAGGCTTTGCCGCTCCCCTCCCTGTGGTACTTCCAGACGCCCTTGAATTTGAGTGTAGCTCGTATTTTTCCACCTGTCCCACTTTCAACCCCGAGCCTCTCGAAGGGGGCGTTCGTCTCATCTCTGCACCACCTATCCTGGGGCGGGAGTCCAGCAGAGACTCAGCCCTTGGTACGTGTCTGACGAGTGAACGAAGGAACACGAGAAGGCTGAGCCACTTGAATGGAAGATTGCGCTCTGTGCCTGAAACGGTCACGCTCACTCTGCATGCGTCTGCAGAAGAGTCCTTCTGAAGGCTCTTTTGTGTTGTTTTCATGTTAAGCAATCACGTCTCACGCGAGAGCTTCTCAGAAGCAAGCATCGAGAGGCAGCCGTCCGGCTCTCGGGCCACGTGAACCCCCCGCAGGAAGAGGCCACAGTCGTCCCTTCCTGCTTCTGTGTGAGTGCAGGCAGATAAAACCGACAGACTCGGGTGCGGGAGGAGGGCTAAGATTAGAGCTTTCTGCAGCAACCCACAGCATGGCCCGTGAGGGGCTTCCGGGGCTCCCCTCCGGGGGCTGCCTTTCCCGGTGAAGTGTCCGGAGCCCCTGGGGCCACCAACACCTCAAGGGCAACACAAAAACCACACTTCCGTGTTATCACGGGGGACAGTGCCGGTTCAGAAGGATTGATGTTATAATATCGGGGGAGGACGGGCTGGATGGCTACTTCATTGGCCTCCTGCAGGTGTCGGCGGGGCACTGTGATGGCCGGTTAGATGGGAGGCGTTACTGCCTCAGGGCTGTGTGCTCTCACTGAGAGAGCCCAGGGGACAGAGGGCCCAGTCTCCTCCTGGCTGCGTGTGAGGCTGGCCCGGGTGGGCGAGGCTCTGGGCACACGGTGCCTGGCACAGGGCTGGAGGGAGTCCTGGCTTCTCCCGGAGCAGTCGGCACAGCCGGCCCAGATTTACAAAAAGGAAAATACAGAAAGGTACGTACGTATTTCGGTGCACAGAAAAAAGACTGAATGATAGATGCACAGGGAAATCCCCAGCTAATGCTCCCGGTGCTCACGCCAGGCCCCTTCTACCCGCATCTGTGTTCCCAGTCTTTCGACCTTGCACGCGTACTCTCCGTGCGACTTTCTGAGCGAAGACGACAAACAGTGGCACTGGGGACAGCACGTTCCTTGCGCCCCTGTGGGCAGTGGGGGGGCGGACCCGGTGCTGGCAAAGGCGGGCAGACGGGACAGATGCCGAGGCGCCTCCTTACCGGATGAGCCTCTGAGGGGCTTCACCTGCTGAGGGTGGTGTCTTCTCAAACAAGTTTCGGAATTCCCGAAAGTTCAATGTGACGCTCAGCCGCAGGCCCAGGAGGCCCAGGAGGCGCTCAAACTCCTCGTCTTTGAGCGTGAACAGCGGCTGCAGCAGCCGGTGCAGGTCGCGCATGCTGATGATGCCGTCCCTGTCGGTGTCCATCCTGAAGAAGGCGGAGTAGAGGTCCTGCGAACACAGCGCAGGGTCAGAGCCCTTCCCCTCCCAGGACCCCGCACGCAGGCTCATCTCCAGGGTGAGGGGCAGGGCACGCCCGCTCCAGGGCCCTCTCCTGCCGCAGAGCTCGGCCAGGGGGCAGAGAAGCCTTCCCCCATTCCCGGCTCGTGGCCCCGGTGCCCAGCACCAGAGGCGAGAGTGCCTCAGATTTCCAGTAGATGAAACCTTGCTGGGGTCTCCGTGTACCTCTCATTGCGTCTGCCACCCAGCCTGCAGGAAACAGCGCTTGTTCTGAACTTCACCCCGAGGAGCTGCCTGGAGGCCAGAGCTATTTTTTTTTAATCCTCACCCGAGCATATTTTTCCATTTATTTTCAGATAGAGTGGGAGGGGGGAGAGAGAAAGAGAGAGAAACATCGACATAAAGAGACACATCGATTGGCTGCCTTCCACATGACCCCAACTAGGGCCAGGGTCCGAACTGCAACCAAGGTACGTGCCCTTGACCAGAATCAAACCTGCGACCCTTAGGTCCACGGGCCGACACTCTGACCGCTGAGCCACACCGGCCCAGGCGCCAGAGCTGTCTTTGCTGGTGGTGCTGAAGCTGGAGCTCTGGCTGAGACTGGCACCAGCCGCGCCCCGGACTTCGCAGGGCCCCTGTGCACTGGGGGCCCTGATGCCCGAGGGCACGGATTCCCGTTTTGCAGGTGAGGAAGCCGCTGCAGGAACGCGGGTGCATCTGGCAGCAGGCGCTGAGCCCCAGACCCCAGCTCTGCAGATGGCTGGCAGCGCGCCTCGGGCCATCCCTCTCCTCTGAACCAGGTTCTGCCGTCCCTGGCGCCTCGGGCCATCCCTCTCACCTAAACCGGGTCCTGACGTCCCTGGTGCCTCGGGCCATCCCTCTCACCTAAACCGGGTCCTGCCGTCCCTGGCGCCTCGGGCCATCCCTCTCCTCTGAACCGGGTCCTGCCGTCCCTGGCGCCTCGGGCCATCCCTCTCCTCTGAACCGGGTCCTGCCGTCCCTGGCGCCTCGGGCCATCCCTCTCCTCTGAACCGGGTCCTGCCGTCCCTGGTGCCTCGGGCCATCCCTCTCACCTAAACCGGGTCCTGCCGTCCCTGGCGCCTCGGGCCATCCCTCTCCTCTGAACCGGGTCCTGACGTCCCTGGCACCTCGGGCCATCCCTCTCCTCTGAACCAGGTTCTGCCGTCCCTGGCGCCTCGGGCCATCCCTCTCCTCTGAACCGGGTTCTGACGTCCCTGGCGCCTCGGGCCATCCCTCTCCTCTGAACCGGGTCCTGCCGTCCCTGGCGCCTCGGGCCATCCCTCTCCTCTGAACCGGGTCCTGCCGTCCCTGGCGCCTCGGGCCATCCCTCTCCTCTGAACCGGGTCCTGCCGTCCCTGGCGCCTCGGGCCATCCCTCTCACCTAAACCGGGTCCTGACGTCCCTGGCGCCTCGGGCCATCCCTCTCCTCTGAACCGGGTCCTGACGTCCCTGGCGCCTCGGGCCATCCCTCTCACCTAAACCGGGTCCTGACGTCCCTGGCGCCTCGGGCCATCCCTCTCCTCTGAACCGGGTCCTGCCGTCCCTGGCGCCTCGGGCCATCCCTCTCCTCTGAACCGGGTTCTGACGTCCCTGGCGCCTCGGGCCATCCCTCTCCTCTGAACCGGGTTCTGCCGTCCCTGGTGCCTCGGGCCATCCCTCTCCTCTGAACCGGGTCCTGCCGTCCCTGGCGCCAGCACACGCAAAGCACTCGGCCAGCGCCCGGCAGGTCTGGAAGGGCTCTCCTTCCGCTTGAATCACCCTTTCACTTTTCAGCTCAGAACCGGCTGCGGTCACCCTGCAGCTGCCCATGTTCGAATGGCTGCTGTCTCCCGTCTTGTCTCTTACAGCTTTCCTCATGCAGCCCAGTCGGTCACACTGAGCTGCGGGCTTTTCCCTAAAGACCACGCCCTACTGGCACCCGCCTTGCCCGGGCTCCCTCTTCCGCAGTCTGTCCCCTTCTTTTTCTGTCAGCACGTGCTGAAGGTTTAAGGTGCGACCAGTGGTCACCTCCTCCAGGAAGCTCTCCTAGCAGGGTCTTTTCCCTGTGCCCTCACAGCACGCTCCAGTTCCCCTCTGACAGCCAATCACGCTGGGTCTGCACTGTGCATTTACCAGCTGTGTCTTGGACTGGACCGAGCTCCCTGGACAGGGCTGTGTCTGCCCTCCCCCACATTTAGCCTACGGTAAGTGTGCAATGCTGGTCGGTGAGAGTGGACTGGATAAAATGGATGAATGGACCCTACATTCGCCACAACTGGGGTCGTTGTGCCTGTTCCCCCTCCTCCTGTGAGGGCGTCTCCATACTTCTCCAAGGCCTTGGAGAGGCAGAAAGAAGGCACATCTGGCCGCGCCCACAGGAAAGGCCCTCAGGGGGTGAGGCCTGCAGAAGTCAGCCCCTCCCAGGAGGGGTGGGGGCGCTGTGCTCTGTGGTGAGCAGGACGAGCGGGGCTCTGGCCAGCACACTGGAGGTGGCTGCGTGGCCGTGGCCGGGAGTGGAGGGTGGGGTTACCTGGAAGGACTCCTTCAGTCTCTGGGGGAGGAGCCTCAGGCACTCCTCAGCACTCACGAAGTAGCTGGCGAAGTCGCTCTGTGGAGGAGCTGCCGTCTGAGATGGCGCCACCTGCGGCTCACTCACTTTAGGACCTGAAACAGCGCACAGACCAGAGGCGCCATCAGGGGCGTGGCTCCTCCCGCCTCCACTCAGCACCGCCTTCTCCCGTCCCGGTCCTGAACACACGACCCGGCATGCGGCCCTGAGAAGTGAAGACGGGTCACCTTTGCTAGGACCTGCTTCCTCGTCCCTCAGTTGCTCAGACACTACGATCGCAGGGAGAACCTGCTCTCCAGACTGGGGGCCAGCTCTAGCCCAGCACACGCTGACCATCGCCCCCAAGTGCCCTCTCGTCTTCCTTCTCCATCCTTCCTCCAGGGCAGGGGTACGGCTCATTCATCTCTGCCTCCCCACAGGCAGAGGGTGAGCATTCCTGCCGTGGTTCTGTTTCTGGAGCCGTGTCCCGAGCCCAGGAATGTGTCCGTCAGTCCACAACCATTAACCCGCCGGGCATTTCCTGACCACGTGTCTGCTAGATGCCGTGCTCGGTCCTGGCACCAACCCGGGGTGGAGAGTCCTTCTTATGTCCCGTTTAACCCATTATTGTACCCACTTAGCATGTGAGGAGGCGGAGGCTCAGAAGGTGCCCCGACTTCCCCAAGGGCGTCAAGCTCACGGACGGCACAGCCGAACCCAGGCCTGTGGGACCCCAGAGCCCGGCTGGCTAACGATGGCATCACGCCCTCTGACTCCCGGACCAGGAAGGCAGTGTAGCTGCTCCTTCAAAACCCGCCCGTTTCCACCGGCTGGGGTCACCGGAGTGCGGCCTGTCTGAAGCCCGGCTGCGCCCGGGACCTGGTTGCAGAGGTTCTCTGCACACGCTGCAGCCGCCCCGCCCCATGCCAGGTCTGCTGGCCGCATGGTGGGCAGAGCGTCTGGTGCTCCAGGGTGAGCATGGCCCAGGCAGGAGCCTGGCTTCTGCTCACTCGACCTGGCCCGCCGTGGCCTCCCTGATGCTCAGCGCCTGGGCAGATGGCATCTCCCCCAGCTGCCTGGCTCCCCTTGGCCATGCCCACCCCGGCCTCTGGCTGGCACTTCACTGCCCCCAACCACCGCAGCGTCTGACCACATGTGGAGACAGAGAGCACTGGGGGCCGACCGAGGGTGAGGACAGTGAGGGGAGGGGACAGGCTGGGGCAGGGAGGAAGCCAGGACCAGTTGGCAGCTACTGAGTCAAATTCCCACTCTGCAGCGGACTCTGCCCTGGGACCGCAGGCGAGGGGCCGACACCCCTGGGCCCAGTTTCCTCCGAAGAATGAATGCACCTGGCGCATTGGAAACACTCACTGACATAAATGTGAATTCCTTTGCCTTCAAAAATGTCAAAGCACCCTGGCTGGTTTGGGTCAGCGGTAGAGCGTCAGCCCACGGCCCGAAGGGTCACGGGTCCAGTTCCCAGTCAAGGGCACAGACCTCAGTTGCAGGTTGGCTCCCTGGCTCCAGTCCGGGTCATGCGGGAGGCAACCAATCACTGTGTCTCTCTCACATGGATGTTTCTCTCCCTTCCTCCCTTCCACTCTCTCTAAAAATACCCTTGGGTGAGGATTAACAAAGCAAACAGAAGTCAAAACATATATCCAAAGAAAGTGTCAAAAATTCCACATGTTGATGGCTTCTCGTTTGCCCTTTTCTTCACGTGGGGGCCACTCTCCCTGTGGGGTCGGCAGATGAAAGTCTGGCTGGGCGGGGTGGGACCCCGGCGTTTCCCGGGTGAGGAGCCCCAGCCGCCCACCCTGGAGACCCAGGGTGCCACCCAGACCAAGCTCAGGGAAGATGCAGACGGGGTTCCGGGTTCCGCCCTGACCAGTCCGCAGTGCATCTGCAGCAGACCAGGCGAGTCTCCTTGGACATGTCTGCAGGATTTCTACAGCCTCTACGGCGCCTTGGTCCCTCGCACTCCCCCTCCCACGAGGAAGCAGCTTCGGGAAGTGGAGAGGAGGGGAGGAGGAGAGAGGGCGGGCGGGCGGGCAGGGAGGAGGCGGCAGCATCTTCTTCCTCCGCCTGCCAGGCACTGGGCCAGCAGAGCAGGGGGCAAAGGGAGGACCCAGCTTCTGAATAGGACGAACTTCCTGACAACCCTTTGGGGAGGGGACAAGGACGGGCTGGTGGTCTCGGGAACGTCACCGAATCTCACAGAATCTCTGTGTCCTTGGCAAAAAGCGAGGAAGGACACTTGCCCCGCCCGTGCACAAGTGTCCACTGCAGGCCGGCAGCGTTTTTGGAGGGAAATCTCAAAGAACACGAGGTGTGAGGTGCGGCTCACAAGGCTCTGGAGCACATTTCAGAAACCGTTTTGCCCTACGTTTGCAGAAGGCTGTGTCAGGCAAAACTCTGCACTCACAACTAAGCTTGGCTTAAAAACTACTCCAGCTGAAACGCAGTCAGATGAAATCAAACAAAAATGTCTGCTCCAGCCCTGGCCGGTTTGGCTCCGTGGTTAGAGCATCGGCCCACGGGCCAGAGAGACCCGGGTTCGGTTCCTGCTAAGGGCATGTGCCTCGCTTGCACTTTGTCCCCAGCCCTGGTTGGGGTCATGTGGGTGGCAACCAGTTGATGTGTCTCTCTGACGTCAATGTTTCTCTCTCTCTCTCTCTTTTCCTCCCTCTCTCCCCCCTGCTCTATCTGACGATAAATGCAAAAATGTCCTCGGGTGAGGATTTAAAAAAGAAAGACTGCTCCAGCCTGGGAACAAACACTGTGTCAACATCTGGGCTCAGATTACGTCAGCCCCAGCCCCGGGTGGCACTACTCACTGCTCAGAAAGACTGGCGGTGCCACCAGTGGGAGACGCACCTGGCAGGGTTGGGTTTACATCTGGCGATGAGCTACTTCCAAATATTGTTGCAAAATCCAGGTAAGTCATCCCTTCCTTCTTGTACCCTATTTTTGCAGTCAGCTGAGCATACTGATCATCATCCATGGGCATCCCACTGTCTTCCAGCACCTGATGGGGACAAGGGAGGGAGAGGCTGTTAGGCGGTCCCAGGTCCCGGCCGAGCCCTCCTCCCCACAGCCCTTGCTCCAGCCCGCCATGGTTACTTGTCTGTCCCCACCCACAGGCTCCTGCAGGCAGGCCTGGATGCCCTGGGTCCCTGGCCCAGAACAAGATTTGTTTGTTGAGCCAGTGAGAGAACAAAGGATCAAGCAGGTGCTGACTGGGGCTCTGTGGGCATGGTGTTTGGGGTTGCATCAGCCCTGCAGACCTCCTCAGAGGCCAGGCCACCCGAGTCCCCCAAATTCACACGTGCTGTGACTGCAATGACTTTCAAGTCTCATAAGTTAGATTTATATTCATATATATCCTGGGAAACATGAACAAAATAAAGCGAGGCAGTGAAAAGGAAAAACTAAAACTTTGATTAAATTTTCATTACGGTCAACTATCACCACCACCACCACCACCACCATCATCATCATCACTATCATCATGATCATCACAATTATCACGATCATCATCACCATCATCACCATCATCACCACCATCAGCATCACCATCATTATCACTATCATCATGACCATCACCATCATGATCATCACAATTATCACCATTATCATCATCACCATCATCATCATATCACTATCACCATTGGCATCACTATCATCACCATCATCATCATCATCACCATCAGCATCACTATCATCATCACTACCATCATCATGATCACCATCACCACGATTATCACCATCACGATTATCATCACCATCACCACCACGATTATCATCATCACCACCACAGTTATCATCATCATCATCACCACAATTATCATCATCACCATCATCATCACCACCATGATTATCATCATCACCACCACAGTTATCATCATCATCATCATCATCATCACCACAATTATCATCACCACCACCATCATCACCACCACGATTATCATCATCACCATTACCACCACCACCACCACCACCATCGACCCCATCTTCACATAGCAATGATATGTGCCAGGCATTGTGCTGAGTTCTTCACAGGCATTTTGTAAGTCCCATTTAATCCTTATAATAAGCCTCAAGAAAGTCACTCTTACTAACCCCGTTACGGATGTGGAAACTGAGGCTTAGAGAGCTCAGGTGACTTGCCCCAGTTACATTATTAGAAAATAACAGACCTGGGGTTCAAACCCAGTTCTTTTTATTAACCACTGTGATAAACCCCACTGTTGGAATAAGGTAACTTGCAAAGGTCTCTGTCATAGAGATGCGGTGCCCTTCCATGTGCCCAAATCAGTCACATAGCTACGAATTAATCTGGGTCTTGGTAGAACACCTTGAGGAATTGCTGGAACACTAAGGATGGGAGCCTTTCGGAGTTGCTAAGAGACCGTCTCCCACTTGTCCCCATTTCCTTCAGGAGGCTGTCACGCAGTGTCTCCTTGCCTCCTGGGTTCTGTTGGGTACAGAGCTTTCTGTCCCAGCCTCCCCACATGGCAGCTGCAGAATATAAGCCCACTTAGCTGCATCAGGGCACCCACAACCTGCAGCGCGGTCACCGACTCCTTGCGTCTTGGTGCCATCCTCTTTGGGGGGTGGGATCAGGGCCCAGGGGGCTGGCACCTTCCGTGGTCTGCGTCCGTAATAGACTAAACACGACAGCGGCTCACGGTATCTGTACAGCCGCTGGTCAAGCCCGGGCTTGGCTGGGCGTATCCGTGCGTGAGCACATGCAGGATGCGCTCGGGCAGGATCAGAAACCGGAGGAGGGGGAGAGGGAAGCGATGCCTGGGGGCCTCTCGGGAGCAGTGCTGGATTCCCGGGCTACCCCGAGGGCCCGCCTGGGACTCGGGCAGGCTGCACGTGGCTGGGAACTCGGGGGTCCCCTGCGGAGGAGCTGTCCCAGCCCGGGTGGTGCGAGTGTTCGGAGCTCTGGGGCCCACGTGGAAGCGGCACTGGATCCCTGACACGAATAGACGGGTTGTTTTCTTTGAAAAATAACTTTATCTTTTGAAAACAATTACACATGAATTATTCATCGCAAATTCTTCCTGCTCAGCCCTTTCATAAAAACATATGTAATGGAGAGCAAGAAAATGTCTGCAGGCAAGTGTTTCACAGCCTGGAGGGTTGCGAGGCGCCGGGGAGGTGGGGTGTGCGGCGGGCAGCCGGCCAGCGGCGCAGGCTGCCATCCCGGGGCACCGAGCGTGGCACAGGACCCCAGCCCAGGCGTGCGGGCACCAGAAGGGGCACCGTGCTTCTCATGAACATGAGGGCCACTGTCTAAGCCTCCCCCCGCACTGCCCTCATTTCTAAGGTGAACACAGCAGCGAAGCAACTGGATTGATCACAGCCCTTAGAGGCAGTTTGCCATTCAACACAAGGCTAAACTGCACCGTTTCGAAAACCAACTTTAAAATGTTTAACCCTTCAAATCTTGTCCCACAGTCTTTCCTGGGAGGCATTTCCCTACGAAAGTTCCTCGAGGACGGACAGCCCGTGGGCGGGCTCGCTCTGATCCACCAAGAGTCCTCTGCATCCCCGGACCTCGCTTAGACTGTAGACCGGTTCTCCCTCTTGAGGCCTTATCATTCCAGGGAGTCGATGCAGCTCTCGGTGGGTGGAGACAGGCCTTCCGGCGCATCACACTGGCTGCTTTCGAGTTCGCTTTGCTTCTTACCAAAGCAACTGGAAGTTGGGTGACTGCTCAGTCTTCCTGAGCCCGGCTACTGCAGAGCCCTCCGTGGGAGCGCCGCCCCCAGTCTCGTGTGGGTGACACAGGCTTGCCAGGCCTCTGCAGCACTGTTTTGGTCGTTGCTCTAAGGATCACAATATACACCCTTAACTTTTCATAGTCTATATAGAGCATATACTGAACCAATTCAGATAAAACACAGAACACTCTTTTTTAAAAAATGTTTTTTAATTGGTTTTCGAGAGAGGAGGGGAGAAGGATGAGAGAGAAATATGAATTGCCTGCCTCCTGCATGCCCCACACTGGGTATTGACCCACAACCCAGCCACGTACCCTGACTGGGAATCAAACCAGCGACCTCTTGGTCCATCGGATGATGCTCAACTAATGGAGCCACACTGGCCGGGCTGCATTCTTTTTAAATTAAGAAAAATAGCCTTTCTGGTTAATTGGGTATTTACTCTTGCCGATGTCCTTTATTCCTCGTGCACGTCTAAGTCTCCACCTAGTTTCAAATTCCTCCAACCTGAGAGCGTCCTTTAATGTTTCTTATAGTGAAGATTTGCTTGTAATAAATTACCTGTTTTCCTTGTATCTGAAAACATCCGTTTCTCCTTCCTTCTTTTCTTTAAATACTCTCCCAAGTATTTTTCCATTTACTTCAGACAGAGTGGGAGGGGGGGAGAGAGAGAGAGAAACATCAATGTAAGAGGGACACATCGACTGGTCGCCTCCCGCACAATCTCGACCAGGGCCGGGGACTGAACCACAACTGAGGTACGTGCCCTTGACTAGAATCAAACCTGAGACTCTTAGGTCCAAGGGTCGATGCTCTAACCACTGAGCAAAATCAGCCAGGGTTCCCCTTCATTCTTAAAGGAGACTTTTGCTGGATGAAAATTTCGGGTGGAGAGACTTCTTGTTTCCTTTTCAACATGTTAAAGTTATTGTCGCGCTGTCTCTGGCCTCTGTTGGTCTAGTGAGCAGTAGGTGGGGGTTCAAATCCTTGTTCCCCTGCTTGTAATATGTCCTTTTCACATGCTGTTTTTAAGATTTCTCTTTGACTTTGATTTTTAGCAGTCTAAGGTTTTCTTTGTATTTATCTCACTTGGCTTTTTGAGGTTCTTGAATATACATTTAGCCCTTCTACCAAAAACTGGGACATTTCAGCCATGATTTCCTCACATATGTCTTTCTATGACTCCAGTTATACCTAGGCTAGACCTTCTGACGTTGTTCCAAATGTCCCCGAGTCACTGTTTTTTTTCTTTTAGTTTTTTGCTTTTCTTCAGTTCTTGTAATTTCTACTGATCTATCTTATCTTTTTTTTTTTTAAATAATTTTTCTTTATTGCTTTTAGAGAGACAGGAAGGGAGAGGGAGAGAGAGATAGAAACATCAATAAGAGAGAACATCGATTGGCCGCCTCCTGCATGCCCCCCACTGGGGATCGGGCCCACAACCTGGGCATGTGGCCTGATCAGGAATCGAACCTCGAACCAGCAACCTCTTGGTGCCTGGGCTGATGCTCAGCCACTGAGCCACACTGCCAGGCTGATCTATCTTATCTTTAAACTCACGGATTCTTCCTTGTGTCATCTCCACTCTGTGGTTAAGCCCATGTGGCGAATTGGTTTATTTCAGATAGTTAATTTTTCTGTTCTAGAATTTCTATTTGCTTTTTTTTTTTCATCAAATTCTATTTCTCTGCTGAGATTTCCTACAGTTTCATTTGTTATGAGTATGTTTTCATTTACATCTCTGAGCATAGTTATAATAGTTACTTTGGCTTAAGGGAATGTTGTGACTGGTTTGGTCTTCTTCCCAGACCACTAAAACTTTCTCCATGTCAGCAACGAGGCTGCTTTACTTTGTTACCATTTGTGTGTTCACTGGAGTAGCACTTTTAATTTCTTTCAGGAAGTGGTTTTTTTTTTTTCTTGCACAACTTGGCTAACAAGAGGCCTAATTTTCAGTCGATCTCAACTTCCCACCTGCCTTCCTCACTAAGCTTAATCATTTCTAGCTTTTGATTTAAAGTGAGAAATGTGCGGCTCTTCCGTTCACTTGAACACTTAAGGGCCACTGTAGGGTTACTAACTGGCCTGATTCCGATACTGCTGTGTCTCGGGGAACAGAGAGGAGGAAGAGAGAAGGGGGAACAGCCCATCAGTGGAGCAGTCAGAACACACATTTATTAAGTTCGCCGTCTTATATGGACATGGTTTGCGGTGTCCAAAACAACTGCAACAGTAATAGCAAAGACCACTGATCAAATCACCATAACAAATATAATAATACTGAAAAGGTCTG